TCATTGCCCCCCTAATAGGCATCATCTTCAGCGAATACAATTCAACTTGAAGTAAGCTTTTAAATTTCTCCACGAGTTTACCAGTCATCTCTCCTGGTGGGTGACCTTGAACAAGGTTATGATTGGTTATGTTTTTTGTGTTTTCACCCCCTCTAGTCTGCTACTTGTATTGATAGTGATGCTGATTGTTTTATTGACCTGGAGTTATTGATCCTTTGTGTATGAGATTTCCTTCTTATCGATTGATAAATTTTGTCAGTGTCGATGTGTGTATTAATTGACGATTGACTGGAATACCAGACTTCCGAAAAATTCTCTGTCATTCTTGGTGTCTTTTCCTCTGTCCAATATTTGAGCGTTGGTTGTTCCAGCGGAATTGATGTCCGTAGTTGTCTGTATGCCAAAGTGTGAGTGAAAAAAACACAAAACACGACCAATCCCGACGTTGTTCAAGGTCACACACACACCAGGAGAGATGACTTGTAAACTCGTGAAGAAATCTAAAAGCTCACTCTATTGAATTCAAGTGTATGCGTTGAGGATGTTGCCTAGTGGCGGGGGGGGGGCAATGAGAGCTTCGCAAATTAACTACCCAGCTTAGAGAACACAACCACATCAAAATCATCCATGATGAGCTAGAAATCTTCTCCATCATATCTAATTCTAACCCCGGCTCTATGGCCTACCAAGGGTGTGGACAGTCAGGTAGGATCTCACCGACCTTCACACACACACAACAGATGTGGCTTATTGCCAATTAGTTATTTTGTTATTGTTGCGTAACACACACACTTCTAACTTCTTCACATACTACATCTTGTAAACAAACACGCACGCACGCACACACGCACACAAATACACATACACGCAAAATCAATATTCCATTTTAATTAAGGTTAACAGAAAGAGAACAAAACAAAATACTTTCAGGAGTATGTCAATCATCATAGGCAATAACAGAAGCAGCAGCAACAATAACAATAACAACAACAACAGAAACACTGTAATCTTATGGAATGATTATCTTTACACACATACACACACAAACACTATATGAGTGATTTAGAGAGTGAATCACTTCATAAATAAGGCAGGTAATGCAAATAAACAAACAAGAAAAACATAAATAGATCTCCGTAGGGTTTAAAATAATAATAATAAAGATGATTAAAAATTCATCTACAATTTATGATAAGTCTAGGTGGTTGTGTTTGGCAATGTCTAACATATTTTTTCTCAATAAAATTTGCTATTCTTGTTCTTCTATGGCTCCTGTCCATATTAGAGGAATACGCTAGGCTGACACGAAGACTCTAGAAGATTTGGAAGTAGATGGCGATTTATACCTAGTGGTATACAAACTTCTGTCTAGATTCAACATAGAACTTGCCACCGAAGTGCACCAGTTCGAGTTACCACCTTCCAAATACCACACAAACGTAGACAAGAAGATGAGTGAAGAGAATCAATACAGTCTGACAAGTATAAGAGTGATTCAGAATGGGTAATGGTAGAAATGAAATGAATATGAAAGATTACAGAGACTGAATACATCTCCGCTGGCCATTGACAACGATTTTGAGCCATGTCACCACCTATTGTCTCCAGCCATTGATTCCTAGAGTCAGTCCCGAGGCCCCCAACCCGGAAGTCTGCATCTCCCTATCTGACCGATTCAGTTTAACTGTCAAGGATTTCATGGATTGATACCATGCCATGTTTTTGTTTGGCCACCACTTCACTTACTCTCTTCCAACCTGCACCTATCTATATCAGCTAGTAATGCCCGTTGGGGGAGGCGGTGGTTAGGCATGCGCACGCAGCACGTCACCTAGCCATCTCAATCTATGTAACTTTATAGCCTCGTCGATGGATTTTCCCTGTTCGCCCAACACCCAACGCCTAACGTCAACATTACTTACCTTATTATACCACCTAACATGAGAAAGAGATCGATAGACATCTATGATCAAAAACAGTCAACCTTTTCATGTCTTCAACTCGTATTGGCCATGTTTCAGAGCCATAGAGAAGGACGGAGCGAACTGGTGAGCAGTACACACGTCCCTTGGTTGATAGCCGGATGCATACAAACTTAAGGATCTACTGTCGAAAACCAACAAACTGGTTGAAGAGGCAGGTAGCAAAGACTTCAAGGAGTCCAGGTGATGAACATAGAGAAAACGGAGAGGATAGAAATAACCAACCTACCAACAGCAGCAATAAGCAGTACCAATCACCGTCAATGGAAGAAATTTCAGAGAGAGGTTACTTCCTCCACCAATCTAAGAAGCATCGTTTCAATTGTAGGATGAAGATATTAGTCATAAATCGGCCAGAATCAAGCTGAAACCAGTTTGGAAATCTTCTACACTCAACTCAATACAAAGAAGAAGATTAGGATTTTCAACAGCCTCGTTGCAGACTTCTGTCAACACAGCTATCTTCGTTCTCTGTCAAGGATCAAATGGCCAGCAAGGAAGAATTAGTAACAAGAAATTGTGGTGGGAACAAACTAACCAAGAACCTATCACTCAACAAATATGTAGGAGAAAATGGAGATGGATTGGGAATACGCTGAGGAGAACGTTGAGTGAAATCACGCTATCGACCGACTAGTGGAACCCAAGTGGGGAATGACGAGTCAGAAGTCCAAGGCTAAGTGACACATGGAGGAAATCGTGTGAGGAGGAGATGAGAGATCATGGGAAACTATGAGCCCAGCTAAAGAGGATAGTAGAAAATGTAAGAGAGTGAAGATGTGTTTTTGTGACCCAGTGTTCCACTCAGAACGCAAGGTAAAACAATAATGATAATATGGTTTTCACTAACATTACAGGAAGATGCCCGACCGACAAGAAGACTCTAGAAAACTTTAGATATAGCGGATGATTCATATCTAGTGTCACACAGACTCAAAGATCAACATTCAAAACCCAACAAGTTGGTAGAATTAGTAAGCAGAGTGTTATGTACTCGTCGCTGAATTATTGTTATGTACTAGTTTTCCCCGTCGCCAAATTGTTATGTACTCGTCGCTGAGTTATTGTTATGGACTGGTCGAGAAACTACTAGTCCTGACGCGAGAAGGCGGAAATCAGAAGACCACTAGGTTTGCGATGATACTTCTATTGTCCAAACACAAGGAGACGAAAATAAATGGTCTCACACCAAAGTGGTAAGTAAGTAAAGTAGTTGTAAAGTAAAGTCACAAGATTGTAAATGCGAAATATATATGAATATGCCAGACAAAGCGTGGGAAAAATCATTAGACAGTCTTAACATGAATGGCTAATTATAATGGAGTGTCGATCCAATTATACATAGCGAATATAGCAGACATGCCAACAAACATATATGGATATATGTCACCAAGCAACGGACTGTCAACAAACACTCATATTATATATAATATAATATAAGGAGAATACACATTATTAAAGGAGACAAGTCCATACAAGTGAAGTGGTCACAGATTAACCGAGCAAACAGAAAGAGAGACCAACATGCACACACACACATAAATATATATATGTGGATACATATCACAGAGAAGACAGGATCTCAAGTGAACAGGTGGCGGATATATCTAACCACTAACACCAATCATCACTATCAACGGGAGGAATTTGAAGTTCACCACTTTCACTTATCTACGGAGTATCTTGTCAACTACAGGCAGCAGCACAGATGAGGATGGCAGAGCCAGCCAGGATCAGGAAAAAGCAACACGGACATTTATCATTCTGAAATCAGTTTGGAAAAGTAAACTGCACTCAGCATGAGGAATAAGTATCGGATTTTCGACACTAATACCAAATCATCGCTTCTATAGGGTTAAGAGATTCAGCACACATATCACCAAAAGCACTTCTAAGAAGCTGTAGATTTTCATCAACAGCTGCCTTCAACAAATCGAATTGAAAAACAGATGATGACTCGCTGGAAAGGATTAGCGACAAGAAACTCTAGAGATGAGACAACCAAGAACTGACACACACTGAGACGACTATTGAGTAACTTTGCGCTCCAGTCCCTCAAGTGGAACCAAAATAAGAGACGAGTTGGGCGTTCAAGGGTGACATGAAGAAGATCCTGTGGGGCCAACTAAAGGGGACTACAGAAAACAGGATGAAATGAAGATAAACTGTCCCACTCGGAAACTAAAGGAATAATAATAAAATGGTGAGAATCGCTCAGAAATTATTAACATTAAAAAAAGACTACAGGCGCTTGAAAACAGGGAAATTCTTTAGAAGATTTAGGGATGTACAATATTTATGAAGTGTGAGCTGACATCAGTTAGATAAACATTGGACTGGACAGACAGCTCTTTCGTCGTAGTTTGCGCCTCTCCATAGTACGCACCCACCACCACCGGAGTTCGAACACAGGACCTTCTGGTTACAAGGCTACCGAGCTCGTGGACCATTAAAGCCACTGGGGCATGAACCAATGGCCAAACTATGTAATCTAACTTCTGCCGAATCATTACATACCGCGACCACTCACCAATGTCTTCTTCGATAAGTTACTGCCTCACCTTCAACCCGCTGCACCCTACTGGTCACGGCTTCCCACTAGAACCAGCCCAGGTTAACTACCTGAATGGGGCCAGTCGCTGGTGAGCGTCAGATTAATTTTCAAGTATTGGTTTGTAGGGACTTTGTGTGACTGGTTGAAGGATTTCACCACGAGGTGACATCGAGTCTCAGTGGTTTAACGATCTAAGAGCTCGCCTTGTAACCAGAAGATCCTGGGTTCGAACCCCGGCGGTAGTGGGTATGAACTGCTGAAGAGTCCCAAACTAGGACGAAACATATGGCTGTCCAGTACTCCCTGTGGCTGGTTTTCCAATACTTGTCTAACTGATGTCAGCTCATGAAACTTAACAATAAGTATAGGTCTTTGCTTTTACTTATGGTGAGCAATAAACAACACACACACACACACACACACAAAACTATAAAATCAAATGTATATACATATATAATACTCACCTATTTGTACAGTATAATGAGTAGCTCCAAAAATCAACTCTGGTGCTCGATAATATCGTGAACAAATGTAGGAGACATTGGGTTCTTCAGGATTCAACGCCTTAGCACTATTATTATTAATATTATATAGAGACAAAAGAGAAAACGCTAGAAATACCATCTTATATGATTCATACAACAATAATAATAATAATAAAAGAATCTCGATTACAAGAATTTTTTAGTAAAAAGAAGAAATTCAGACGTAAGTGAAAATTATTTTCACGTTACTATATATATATATGTTGTACACATAAATTTCACATCAATGTAGAAGAAAGGGAGGTGATGAATAGGAAAGAAGAAATACGTAAACAATGATGACTTATTCATCATTGATCAGCATTGCGTGGGGCACAAAATTGTGTGTACACATGGCACCACCACTGATGTAGCACTCATGTTAAATCATCACTAATTTTAGATACCTAACCATTATGCTGGCTACAAACACACTAACCATGGACACGGGTGTTTCTCATAAAAGAGAATAATAATAATTTGCTTTATTCCAAAACAGTACTTGTGTGTGATACAAAATGGAATTCTCAGCATTTCACTAACTACAGTATTTCATCCAATTAGTACATTAACAATAAAGTAAACTTCTACATAGATTAAGGGTAATCTCAGTTCGTTTTGACAACAACATATTAGCCTATCGGTACCACAGTAAAAAATTAAACAGAGTGTTTGAAGGTGTTAGAAAAGTAGATGCTAGCATATTTACTGTCTGTCTGGATTCAGCATAGAACTTGGCACAGAAGTGCACCAGTTCGAGTTACCACGTTCCAAATACCACACAAACATAGACAAGAAGATGAGTGAAGAGAATCAATACAGTCTGACAAGTATAAGAGTGATTCAGAATGGGTAATGGTAGAAATGAAATGAATATGAAAGATTACAGAGACTGAATACATCTCCGCTGGCCATTGACAACGATTTTGAGCCATGTCACCACCTACTGTCTCCAGCCATTGATTCCTAGAGTCAGTCCCGAGGGCCCCAACCCGGAAGTCTGCATCTCCCTACCTGACCGATTCAGTTTAACTGTCAAGGATTTCATGCTATATTTACTGGAGTAAGCGGTAACAAAAGGTCGAGATATACAGAGTGTGAAAGAACGAAGAAGAATGTTTTAAGTAGAGTTTGTAAGGAAGAGAGAAACAAAACAGCACATAACAGAAAAAAGAGAGAGAAAAGGAAAAGAAAGAAAGAAAACGTTGCACCTACAAACGATATGAGTTGGAAAGACGAGAACCAGTTGTTCTACTGAGTATTTAATAAGTTATAGGTATCACGCCTAATGGTTTCTTTATCGCACAGAACACAAGCTAAAAGTAGGGTATGGTTGAGTTTTTTTACTCGCTAGTGTGAGCATAGTTTCTTATATAGGCCTCTGGCTTTGCCTGATGAGATAGATACAAGGGAAGAGTTGTGGATGAAGAGGGTGGTGTGAGCTAGATAGATAGAATGGATTTAGCCCATTTTCACATGAGTCCAAGTGCCTGTCGCCCAGAATATTAAGAAGCTGGTCAAGTGGCAAGTTGCTTACTCTGCTGAAAACCTTTAACATCTCACGTAATAAGGTATAGTCTTTCTTCAGTAGCCCTGGAAAAACTAAGGGGGAACAATAGAGGTAGGATGCAAGAGTTAACGAATTGTAGGAGCAAGGGTTGGTTTATACCAGAATGTCTTAACTTCTTGATGTAGAAGGTAAGACGGAATATTTTCTTAGAAATAGTCAAGATATGAGACGACCAGGAAAGATCAGAAGATAGAGTGACGCCTAGGTATTTAATTTCCGACTTGGTTTCAATCTCAGTGCCATCTATGTTGCACACCTCGTGAGTGCTAACCAGTTTGTTTAGGTCAGATTTATGCCTAAAGGTGAAATTGACCGTTTGACATTTAGAGGGATATAAGGTTAGACCGTTTTCCTTGAACCATTGGCTGATTTCTGATAAAAAGCCATTTAGTTTGGAGCAGTCACTTTGACACTTGACAGGCAAAGATACAGTCAAATCGTCAGCATATTTAACAAAATTAATGTCATTTGAAGATGGTGGGTCATGTAGAAAGAAAGAAAAGAGAAGTGGGGAGAGTACAGCACCTTTGGGGACACCAGCTTCAGTGAGCACAGCAGAGGAGGATTTGCCTTTGTATACAGTGTACTGCATTCTGTTTGAAAAGTAGGAATGCAACCAGTTTGCGACCCAGAACTCAGTTTGTGTCATCGAGAGCTTATTTAGCAAGAGACATCTAGGTACAGAGTCAAAAGCAGAAATGAAGTTGAAAAACGTGCAACGGACGTATTTGGGACCTTTATCTAATGATAAAGGTGAATGTTTGATGCTTACAACCGGACTGGTGGACATTTAGGTCTACTATCTGGTTAGGGGAGTGTGTCGGTGGCACAGTAGTAAAATACTCGCCAACCACACCCCATGGGGTTCAGGGTTCCATCTTCGGCCACCGACGCAGTCCTTTACCTCCCTAAGTCAGTAAATAAGACTGGTAAAGAGAGTAGATCAGACATGAGGCTGGCAAGCAACCCCATCCGGTAAAAATAAAAACACCATTGCCACCGAAACTTCAAAGCTCTAACTTAAAGGCTCCCTATGTTCCATTGGGAACGTTAAGGAATAAAAAAAATCTAGTTAACGGAGCTGGAAAACGATGAATCCAAACCTACGGTGGTGTACAAGAGCTCAAGAATCCGAAAGAATCAAATAGTGTATGAAGTTTTCTTGGTCACTAGAATCATCGGGGACACAACCCTTGGTGTTGCTTCACTGTCTTGTGGATTAGAATTCAAGTTATAGGTTCAGGAAAGTTGGCCCTTTAAGACAATCACCACTGGCTTCAGCCCGGGTGTCTACGTAGAATATTTTGTGTGGAATATCTCAAAGGGGCCCAAAATGTACCAAGTTTGCGTTTTAATAATAATAATAGCAAAAATAAATAATTAACATAGGCAAATTCAAGTCATTTTAATTGTGAACAGATAATGGATGGATAAATGGTGTGTACATTAAGTCGATTCTAAGAAATTTTAGCAAAGACAGTGAACATAGTATACAGCAGTAGGCCTTGGAACTAAGATTTGAGGTTGTTGGCACTCACCAGCAACGCGTATCTGGAATCTTCAAGGAACTCATGTCCCTTCGAAATCCACCCAGTGTTGCAGTCGGAGACGCTACTCCAGAGTTATCCAGGCTCAGAATTGACCTCCTGTAGGACTATCACTAGCCTGAAACGAGACAAAGCAGCGGGACCTGATGTAATGACGCCAGAGGCGTGTTAAGGACGGTGGAGATAGTTTACTGCCTGCATTAACTAAGGCATTAAGTAGCGTCTGAAACTCAGAAGTAGTCCAGTCGGGCTGGTGGAAGTCATCGACTATTCCGATATACGAGAAGAGAAACAAGACTTCCTGTGATAATTACAGAGGGATTAGCTTGACCAATATGGCATCTAAAGCTCTAGGCTCAATAATAATGCGTTGACTAAGCGGTCCATGGGAGGAAAAAACACTCGAGAACTAGGTACGCTTTAGACCACGAGGAGGGTGTATTGATCATATCTGCACCTTTCGACAAATTCTGGAACATAGGCATATTTACTATCGGCGTCCAACAATCGTAATATTTCTTGACCTGAAGGAGGCATTCGATACTGTCGACCGAGAGGTACTCTGGTGATGTTTGGCTGTGAAATGAACGCCGAGAAAATACATCCCAATGATCGAGGAACTCACGCTACTCGAAGGCATTCAGCCAGGTGAGAGCGCAAGGCAAGTTGTCATCTGGAGTGGTGACAACAGTGATGGATACCCACTGTCTCCATTCCTATTTAATTTTACCATGGATGTGCTAATGGAATTAAACCCAACTAACTTCAGCGACTCAGGGATTCACTTGTCAACAGGGAATAATCTCGCTGATTTAGAATATGCACATGATATAGTCCTTCTAAGTGAAGACGCTGACATAATAGAGCAGAGTGTTCTGAACACCTTAAGATAAACAGCAATCTTCGAATGATTGGCATGCAATTCACTCATACTGTCAAATGTAAGATGATGAGGCTACAGGACTGGAATGGCCCCGACTACATCGAATCATTCCTAGCTCAAAGATAGACAGGAGTGAAGTGGTTGGTGGAGCGTGTTGACCACTTCGCTAGCTGCCTTTGATCATAGGTGTCTGCATTCTATCTCCCGTGTAAGTTGGTGGTAAAATAGGGTGATTAATGTTGACGTGAAGCATCGCTCGAGTGATAGGTAGGTAGGAGAAATCAACCGATGAGGTTGTGAAGTTACATCGATTGAGAGAGATGGTTAGGACATGTGTTACTCATACCTAGTCATCACCTTCCTCGACGGCGGGAAATGTTAGCTGACATAGAGCGGTCCAGGCTGTTTGAAAAGAGATAGTAGAGGTGGTCAGATCCAAACATCGTGGCATTAGTCAGTCAAATCCATAACAGTTTGTTTGAACCAGTCAGCTACGTAGGGAGGGAGTTGTAGACTCCCTGACTGGCCCAGTTGAGGTTCTCGGGATGCTAATAACCAATGAAGGCTGGAAACAATTATCGGTGATATAGCTCAAAATCGTTCTCAGTGGTGGCGCAGATGCATCCACTCCATGTGACTTATAATATCCAATAAAACTATATTGTAGCTTCCATATTACTATTCTTTTGGCCTCATATTTCTGTTTATTATTTCTATTTTGAATCTCTCTCTACTCTTTTCTCTTGCTTTGTCTGCTACATGTAGGGAGTGTGGCAAGTTGAACTGCTGCACATTGGTGCATGCGCGTATTTGAGGTTGTCTAAACTCAGTCAATTGTGTGAATCACCAACCACACTTATTGTATGAAGCCTCATGATACTATTCAACTGTTGAAGCAGAAGGGCATTCCAGTTCTTCAGTCAATGAGCCATGTCTCCACAGTATTCAACAGCAGAGTTGAGAGTAGTAGGTGTGAACAACAAAACTGCTAAATTGAGACAAGGTTAAGAACCTTGAGGTAATTTGGTGGATAGTGACTATCAGTGG